CCATTGAGGCCGAACGGAAAGGTGAGGGGACTGGAGTCTGGGAAGACTGTCTGTGTTGAGGTTCACGGGCTAGCGTTCCCTTAGAGGCAGTGGAGCCCTTCCTATCTTTGGAAAGGCACAGAAACCGTGAGGTGTGTGGGTGAAACTTTCTCTTTATCCTGCTCCAGAGCCAGCTCCAAAGCTCCTGCCACTTCCAGAGCCAGAGCCAGTGCCAGCCCCCGGGCTGGAGCCAGCTGCACCTCCAGTCTCACCACGTGTGGTAGAGCTGGAGCCAGCAGCCCCTGAGTCGGCCACTCCAGGACCAGAGCAAGGGCCACCATTAGAGGCAGCCCCAGAGCCCAGCTGCCCCTGGGCCGTGACCACCTTAGGACCAGCTGCGGGAGGAGAAGCTGAACATCTTGGACTTCCCTCCCCAGCTGGTGGCAGAGCAGCTGACGAGGATGGCTGCGGTGAGCAGAGGAGCTTGTGGGGCGGGTGGCCCCTGCCTTCCCGGTGCCATGAGCCACCCCACACCTGCCATTCCCTGCTCGGGATTCCGATGATCTGGGTCCAAATCCCTGCTCCCTCTCTTATCAACACTGTGACCTGGGCAGCTTTCTTTCTCCCCAAGCCTTAGCTGTCCCCTAGCGAACAGGGGACGGTAGAGACGGACACTCAGCACCTGCTGTACAGGGTGGGCTGTGCCGATGAAATGAGGTGGGAGAGAGTGGAAGGTGGGGCAGAGTCTGGTCCTTTGGTGGGGGGATGGGGCACTCACTGAAGTGCTGCCAGGTCCTTGGGTGGATCCCCCCATCTGCGCAGGTGGCCCGGAGAGCCTCAGCACTTAGCAGGAAGGTGATGTGTATTGACTCCAGTGGAGACAGTCAAACAAAGCTGGGGGTTGTCCCTGCCTCGGGGGAATGTGCATGGGAATGGGGAGTGGGACCCGAGGGGCACTGGGATGGGTGGATGATGGCCCTTCTGGTGGGCATGTGTGGGCTGCCTTCTGGAGCTTGGAGGAAGTGAGATGGGGCTGGGAGCAAATGTCCCCTCCCTTCCCCACAGTACTGTGTCCGGGGTCATCCTGGACTGGGTGCATTCAGTGGACACAGACAAAACCCAGGGACTCCCACAAGCCTCAGGCCACATGCTCTGCTTCCTGAGCTCCAGTTCTGATCTCACCCTGCTGGGCCTATGGGGGACTGTGGACGCCGAGCTGGGGTGCGGCAGGACCGGGTGACACTCCGAATCTTCTGCAGGAGCTGTTCAAGACGTTGGTGCCCGCCCACTGCCTCGGCTCCATCTGGTCCGAGCGCGACAACAGGGAACGCGAGTCCCTGGCACCCACCGTCCGTGACACTGTGATGCACGACAACACCGTGGCCAATTGCATCCTCGTCACCTGCCTTGGGGACGCGAGCATGACAGCGCAGGACAGGGCCAGGGTGGTTGAGCTGTGGATCAGGGTGGCTGAGGTAAGCCTTGGCACGCCCTGTCTGGATGCGTGGGAATTGCCTCTTGTTTCTCAGCTCTCAGGATTGAAGTCTGGGGTCTTAGTCCCTGGACTGTCCCTTGACCCTCATGCCAGGGCCACGTTGACCTTGACTTGAGGTCCCAGTGGGGACAAGCTCACTTCCTTCCTTGTGTTGAGCTACAAATCCTGTGCCTGGCAGTGTTGCTCGTCGGGTGGCAGGTGTGCCCTCCCTGGCTTCCCTGGGCATGTGTCTCCTCCAGGACAGGGGAAGTCCATGAGGGGACAGAAACCAGAGGCAGCAGAGCTTCAGCTCCCCCTCACGGCTCCATCTCTTCGCTTCCCCAGGAGTGTCGAGGCCTCGGGAACTTCTGTTCCCTCCACACAATCCTTTCTGCCCTGCAGAGCCCTGCCATTGCCCGTCTCCAAGACACCTGGGGACAAGTTTCCAGGTGGGTAGTGGGTGGTCTGCTCTCCAGCCAAGCACCATGAGGGTGAGGTGGCCCAGGCAGCCTGATTTGGGCCGGCATGTCCCCCAAAGTCAGCTGAGACCACCTGGGAGACAGCGAACGCCGGGCACAGGGACTGACCTGGGTGCTGGGTCTCTGAGTCTCTCAGCGCCCTTAGGCCAGCAGTTCCGTCCCAGGGATTCATTTCCTTCCAGACCAGATCCTGGCTTGAGCCCAGGTGGAGAATCTCAGGTGTTTCCTTTGCAGCAACAGAAGCCTCTATGCAGCTGAAACCAACACTGTTCCAAAGAGATCTGTTTGGGACATCTGGGAATGGAGGCCCCAAGGGACAAGAGGAGAGGCCCCTCCGCAGTCCCATGGGGACCTTAGAGCTCAGAACACCCCAGCAAAATCCCTCATCCAGGCCCCAGGCAGTTTGGATCTGCTGGGTTCTCAAATAAATGGGACTTGCCTTCAAGCATCCCAAAGTTTTTCTTTCTTTCTTTCTTTCTTTCTTTCCCCACCCCGCAGGGAGAGTTCTCGAACCTGGAAGAAGTGGGTCAGGAGAGAGAAACGCGTGAGCAGGGAGCTGCTAGTGCAGGTAACCTGGAGGCTGGAGATCTGGAAGGAGGCCAGAAGGAGAGGGGAGGGGAACATCCCGAGGGGATCCTAGGAGGTGAGGCTATGGCAAGGCTCGGCCCAGGCTGGGGGTCAGAGAGCCCTGTGAGGGTGGGGCAGGCCGGGGCCACTCGGCCAGGTCCCCCAAGACACCCTGCCCTCCCCCTCCCTGTCTGTTCACCTGGGGTCTGGACGCACCCCTGGAGTCCAGAGGTCGGGGCCTTGGTCAGATTTGGAGCCAGGGCTGGGGTGAAGGCAGCGGGGGCAGGGCCTGTAGCTGGCACGGGGAGCAGCCTCTCCCAGTGGGTCCTTGAGCCAGTCACTGCCCCTCTGGGGGCCTCCGTCTCCTCCTCTGGGAAGTGGAGGGAAATGATCAGCGGTGCAGGCCTCCCAGCGGGGTGCTACCATCCAAGGGAGGACAGGAACGCAAGGAGATTTGTGCCGGCTCCTCCTCGAGAGGTGAGGGGAGAGCAGTGATGACACGCAGATGACTCTGAGTCCTCAGGAGACTCCTGGAAGCAGGTGACGTTCTCCTCACACTTTTCAGCTGAGGAAAGAGGGCCAGGGAGGCCTGGGCAGGCCCAAGGTCACACAGGACTGAGTCCTGGAGCTGGGACTGGTCTAGAATCAGAGCACCCTGGAGGTGGGAGCAGCAGAGGCAGCAGGGGACTGGAGCCGATGGCCAGGGTCTGAGATCAGGGGCCTTGGGGGACATGCGGAGGGGAGTATGGGCGCACTGACCCTGTCCTCGGCCCCGACAGGAGGCGACCTCCGTGTTAAAGACTGCAGAGAGGGCCCGCCAGGGAGCCCAGGAGAGGCAGCGGCAGCAGGTGAGGGTGACTGTGGGGGAGGGGCCTAGGAGTCAGAGGAGAGGGGGCTCCCCCTCCCAGCTGGAGACCTCCTTCAGGAGAGGGGCCTTCCTCCTCAGGTGAATCTGCTGTGGCTGCCAAGCATGACGGGCCTGCAGTGGCAGTGAGCAGGAGGAGGCCTGGAAGGGCTGGCAGCAGGGCAGATTTGGGGTGGGGAAGGGCAGGGGCCACTGCCCCTGGGAGGGGCCAACAGCCAGCCCTGGGACTTGACTGATGGAGTTTGGTGTTCCTGGAGGGGAGCGGGGGAGGGAATTGTGTGTGTTGGGGTGTCCCGAGGATCCTAGGCTGCTCTGTGTGGGAGCGTGGGGTGGGCAGGAGGCTGGGCTGAGGGGTTTCAGGGGAAGGTTCATGGGGGCACCTGAGAGCGGGAGCTCATCACCATGCCCATCCCGATGGCGGCACAGGGTGTCATCCCCTCCCTGGTGACGTTCTTCCGTTCCCTGGAGCTGCTGGACGCTACGATGGAGGATTATGTGGAGGTGAGTGAGCCTGGAGGTGGGTCCGGGGGCTCAGGCTCCTGAGGGTGGGGAGGAGAGAGTCCTGTCCTGAGCCCTGAGCTCTCTGCATTTGGCAAAGGTCCTCTCAGCAGGGCCTCCAGCCTCGTGTGGGAGTTGGGGTGTCAGGCCCATCTCCCCAGTGGGTGACGCAGGCTCTGCATAAGCCACCGTCCAGGTTCCTTGGGCTGCTGAGGCTCAGAGCTGCCTGACTGTGTGGCCGCAGGAGGTGGTGTCTGAGCTGGACTCAGCCTCTCCCTCTGGCCCTGCCAGTGAGGGAAGAGAAGTCGGGCCCCTCCCAGTCAGGAAGCACATCAGTGGCTGAGCTGTCCCTTCCTGCCTGAGGCCTCAGTCTCCCCACGTGTCATCAGAGAGGGTTGGGTCACAAGGTCTGTTGCCTCAGTTGCTCTGCGCCCCCTGCTCTGGAGCCCAGAGACTGGCCCAGGTCCAAGTCCGGGCTCTGGATGGGCCTGCCCACTGGCAGTAGTGCAACATTGCAAGAGATGTGGACGGGGGCTAGTGCTGGCCCAAGGGGGCTGTTTCTGATGGACTGCGGCTGTCTGCTTTCCAGGGCAATGTGCTCAACTGTCGGAAATGGAATGAGGTAAGCGGCTGCGGCCTCCCGGTGGGGAGGGTGGGGGTTGGAAATCAGAGACCCCCCCGCAGTGGGCAGGACCCCCTCTGGCCCAATCCCCAGGGTGGAACATTTATTTGCACAGTTCGATATACAGAGCTAGGGATCCTATGGCATTGGCGGGTGGGGGAAGGGCTGGCATCAAAGACTCCTTCCTGGAGGAGGAGCTATTTTGGGCCAAGTGTGAGAGCAGGCAAGCCCTGACTGGAATCGCAGGGAGGGAGGGTTCCCAAGTGGGCAAAGGCCCCAGACTGGCCCCTTGCCCCCTTCCTCAGCCCCTCCACGAGCCCTGCAGGGTCCCCCACTCAGGCCGTGTGGGCATCCTGTGCTTGCTCTGTCCTAGCAATTCAAACTGATGGACGAGATCGAGCTGCTCCAGGAGGCTGCAAATCTGTACACCGTGCAGCCCGACGAGCACTTTGGGGCCTGTTTCCAGGCCGTGGAGCCCCTGAGCAAGGAGGAGAGGTGAGTCATGTCAGGAGTTGGGGGAGGGCAGGACAGCCTCTCTCTGCTGACCAGCTCCAGAGCCCATGGCCGTTGCTCCATGGTCAGCCCCTGATCTGATTGCATGGCGACCCCTGGGGCCCTTCGACCCCAGCTGCTGGCAGGCTCCAGGACGCACATGTGATGTGTGGCTCCTGAGAGCTCCCAGCTCCGCTCTGTCCTGTAGCTACAGCCTGTCCTGCCAGCTGGAGCCCCGATACCACTGGGTCAGAAAGATTCGACTCTTCTTCAAAGGCAAGAAGAACCGCTCAGGCCAGAGTGAGTGTCCAGACCGGCAGTGGCTGAAACCATGGGCTCAGGAAACATTCAGGCTGAGCGTGGGCCTGGGGAGGCAGACAGCTGGCCCTGGGTTCCAGCTCCACTGCTGAGCAGTCCCGTCCTGGGCGGTTGCACTCACGTTTCTGGGACTGGTTTCCTCCTCTGTGAAGTGGGTGACGCTAAATATCAGCCCCTGTGTCAGGGACAGATGGGGTGCTGTTGGCTGACTGAGCACTGAGCACAGGGCTGGAGCACAGAGCGCAGGGGGGGCCGGGATGGGGTGTGCACTGTGGTTCCAGGGCAGGCCGCTCAGGAAATGCCTCTCTTTCTCCAGACACCAGACCCCCAACCAAGGGCCCAGTGGTGGTGGTCGATGACCCTCCTGAGACCAGCTGAGCTACAGCGGGGACACAGCGTTGACACTCAGGGTGCACAGGGCCACCTCCCCTGATTCTGATGAGGAGAACTTTGTGATCCGTTTCTTGGGGTCCCCTGTTGGCCGCGAGGGAAGGCACCAACCCCTCTTCCCCCTCCCCCCTTTTGCCCAGCACCTATTTCCCTATTTGGCGGGGCCATATTTTGTTGTCAATGGTAAATGCTCCGTTTGAGTATTATATTAAATTGTTGCTTCTTTCTAATCCTGGGAGTGGAGGTGTGAGTCTTTCGCTCGCAGCGCTCATGGAAACCAGATCCAGAAACTCACATTCCTCCTCGAATTTAGAAATCTCCCAGAGTGAGCGGCTCAGTTTATGTGGAGAAGGGAGAAGTGCCAGTCCCCTCCCTGGCTACTGAAGGACGTGCCCAAGTGCCCCTCCCGCCGAGGACAGGATCATTGCAGTGTGGTTCACCCTGTCCAGGAGCAGAGATGGCCCCTCCGACCTCTTGGGACTAAGCGGTTGGAGGCGTTTTCTCAGGCAGAGCCACAACCACTAAGCTGGGTGTGTCTGTCAAACTAGCACGTGCCTGTCCCTAGCACACGTCCTGCCCAGGACAGTGGCTGCCTTTCGACACTCTGCCGGAAGAGGGAACATTTTCCCGGTTTCTCTTGCACACAGATTAGGACCTTGTTTTCTGATTTAGTCTCCGCAATGGCTTCAGCTCTAAGTGGGGAAAATACCGTCAAAAGCTCAAAACGTGCACATAGAGAGGACGAGGCCAGAGGAAGGTCCTGTGGACATGGACCATGGGCAGGCAGGACTCTTCCTTCTCGGGCCCACTAGGGGCTCCCTGTTCACCTCTGACCTAGACTGGATCCCCCTGGGCTTCTGGTCCCTGACTCCCAATACCATTTCCTGCTTGCTGTCTATCCAAGGGGAAAGCTGTGGGATGCAGCTTTTAGGGCCTCAGCCAGGTCTCCCTCCATAAACCTAGTGCTCCCCTGAGCTAGGATTTTCAGCATCTCTGCACTTCTGCATACAATTGTATCTTGGGGCAGAAATTCCCTAGATGCCCCCAGCCTTTCTAATCATCATCCTGACCAGGAATGACCCTACAGTCTCCCTGCTGCTGAGGGTGACTTCTGGGCCTGTGTGCTTCGCAGGCCCGTGGTGTCGGACAGTCCCAAATTTACACAATCTGGAGTATTTTTAGTGACTTTCCTAAAGTCGTTGTTGTGCCTGAGCCCAGCAAGTGTGCAGCCCCTCGGCTGGCTGTGTTCTTTTCCACAGTCTTGTGCTGTGGTTCTGTCGTGGGGATGTGTGCCTTTCCTGTTGGGAGCTTTGAAAGAGGAGGCCTAAGAAGGGTGTGAGTTGGGGGTCTTGCGGGGAATGTCAGCAACCTGATGATCTGTGGATGTGCGTGGACACAGCCTTACCAAGGGAAATGCTGAAATGCTTCCCATCTGGGTGCTAAACAGACACTGCTCTGAGCTCAACAGGAGCACCGGGTCCAGAAGCAGGAGCGAAAGCGTGACCACCCAGCCTTTGCAATGTCGTCCCTTGGAAAGAGCCTGAAAGACAAGGGCGGGGTGAAGCGCTTGGCACTTCTGAGTTATCCCCTCCTTCCTGGTGGCTGCAAGTGTCACTCAGACACACAGCAGGCTGGGCTCTGCCAGGGAGGCCGTCTCAGCACAGCGGGAAGCTGAGGATCAATCCTGGTCCCCGGCAGCCCAGGTCCTTGCTGATGCGGCACAGCCACCCAGCAAAGAGACTTGCAAGAGGAAGGTGGGGAAGGCTGTGCTGTCCCTCGGAGGAGAAAGAGTCGTGGCAGGTCCCAGGGCTAGCCCAGGGCTGGGATGAAGGCATGGGTGTCCCAAGAGAGTCTCCTCCGGGACTGGGGTGCTCCTGAGAGCCGACCCGGTAGGTAGCAATGTTTAGTTTGTTGTGGGAGTACAGCTGTGGACACAGGAGGCACCATTCATCCCGTCTTTGGGTTTCCAAATTGGAAGTAGGTTGTGGAAGTCCACGAGGAAAGAAATTAGCAAATCTGGATGAAATGTTTCTTGTTCAAGGCACACAGAAGTTACCAAAACTGGCTTCCTAGGAGCTGACTTAGGGGAAGAGAAAGTAACAATGTGAGTCCCTTGAAATGCCTCAGGTGAATATGGTGTTGGCAGGAAATGCTCAAAATGTTTGAGGAACTGGTAAGTTGGGTGCCATTTAAACTATTCCAGGTCTAAGGTGGGGACGGATGCTTGCATCTTGGCTTCCAGTGCAAGCAAAAACAAGGCCACGTTGGGATTCAACTCAGTCTTTCCAAAGTGGTCGATGAGACGGCGTTTGTACTCCTCACTCACGGACCTCGAGAACTTCTTGCCGTGTGGTCCATGCACAGATGCATCTTCCATTTATGGGAGCTAACAAAAAGTCTGTCCAGTTGACAGCCATACCATCCAGCCTAATGCCGTCTCCCCCCACTCACAGTGCCCTGAACACCCATCTTGCTGATTTGGACACGATTTGCCTCATCACAGTGAGAGAGCCATGCCAGGGGGTTCTAGAGCCCCGGGAACCATGTTCACACCCCCTCTATCTATCCAAGACAGGAGCATCTCTGGACGGGTAACCTGAGTCCAGAACCCTGCCTTTCTCTAGGCTTGGCTTAGGATTTGTCCCTGAATGGCATGACTCGACCATTCTCCCGAATGCTGCCCCCTGGCTTAGGTGTGTCTGGAAGAATTACCAGCATAGACTGGCCTTTCTTTCACCCTTGAGGAGACCAACGAGGACGCCCCTCGACTTGCCAACCTGCCCCTGGGTTTCGATGTCTACCAGGCCTGTCCCTGTGACCCCAGGACCTTGGAGAGCAGACTGTTCTGGCTCTCTGGAGGGAATCGGACTCTCCCTAACTACAAGCGCCCGACTACAGCAAATCCATGGCCACTGTTACAGGAACAACTTCAGCACTGTCAGCCGAGGTCGGAACCCTTCTGGAGCTCTCCAGAAGCCCCCAGGTAAGAGGGTCTGAATGCTGGAGAGAGAGATTCTGGTCTTCCCCCATGCCTTTCTCTCAGCCAATCACAGGGAAAGGCAGAGCTCTACATAAGTCCTCCCAGGGACATCCTCCCATGGGGAGTTTGTTAACTGGGTTGGGAAGGAAGACCACGGTGAAGGAGAAGTGCCGTTGAAACATTGAGACTCAGCCCAGACTCATGCTCAAGGCCAAGGCATCCATCCTACAGCTCCTGGGAATATTGGCTGAGGACAGCTCACAGCTCTTTCCCTCACAGGACATTCCCACAGCATAGGGAAGCGCCTAACCAGAGGATGCAGCCCTCTCCAGGGACAGCCAGGGGCCCATGTCTGGCAGATAAGGGAGTAAGAAGCCTGGTTCCCTTGTCTCAATTTGGGACAACACCAAAGGGCCGTCCCAGCTCCAGAGATCCCTGAGGGTTGGCTGAGACCCAGTTGCAGCGGGCTTGGGCTTCAGCTTCTCCTGGGACCATCTCTGCTTTGCTACCTTCCCATAGGGATATCTCTCCAGAACACTTCCATACACTTTCCCCATGCAATACTCCCCATCAGACTCAGAGTCTCTTGGCAGGGCCCTGATATGTGACAAGCAGCCGTCAGCAGACACGACTTCTGACCATAGCAATATGAAATTCGGGAAATTCTGCTTTGGGAGAATCACCCTTTAGACAATCTGAGAGGGTAGGTCATCGTAATCTTCAGGACAACCTTAGGTAATGCTCTGGTAAGAAATTAAATGCAATGATTAAGAAATCCATGACTCAAGATGTATTTCTCCTCAGATTTACATCAAACATTGGTCGCCGGGGTGAAGGGAACCCTGCTTCCCAAGTCTCGTTGGGCAAGGCTGATGGAGACCCCATGACCTTGTTGCTACACCATCTGAAACTCATGCATTCTTCCATTGCCACTGAAGGACACAAAGAGCACCTGGGGCCTTACACATCCTCCTTTCTCCTTTGGCCTAAAAGTGATGCCCTTGGGCAGAAGTAGCCACACGTCCATTCGAAAACCAAGAGGGCTAGAAAACCTAGTCTTCTGTGTGCCAGAATGAAAGGAGAACTGGATGCAGCCTGCCACGCTCTTTCTCTACACCAAAGCAGACTCCCTGTCGCTCTCCCTGTCACATACAGTGTTCCCTCGCCCTGTTTCGCCAGCAGGACATCCTAAGACCCACTGAACTCAGGATCTCTAGAAGATCCTTAGGCTAACAGATCCAAGTGTTCAGTGGCCACACATGACAAACACTACAGAACTTTCAGGGTTGGATCAGAATATCCCTAAAGAAACTATCACCATCGATTGCAGTCAGCATCCTCCAGAAATGCTGGGGAGGGGAGAACCTGATTTCCCTAGTTGTCACGTCATAATATTTCAAATGGTAAGTTTTCTGCCAAAAGTCCCAGGGCATACAAAGAGACAAAGAAGGATGGCTCCTACCTAGGAAAAATCTAAGAACAGAAGGGGCCCCTGAGGAAGCCCTCGGGGTGAGCACAGAAAGCTTTCTCTGGTTGTTGCTGTTCACATTCCTGTGTCGAGCCTCTGTCTTCCTAAGCAGCAATATGCTGAAAACCTCTGTTTCAGGGTCAAGACAGAGTCAGAGGCCATGGATGCCGGAAATGGATTTGTCTCTTTTCTTCTGTCTTTGTCCGGGACTGTACCTACTGCCTCATCTCGATTTACAGGGAAAACCTGGGAAACCTACCCAAACAAGTGTGTTTTGGTTCCTGCAGGCAGAATACGGAAAATGTTGCAGTTATTTTGGGTGACGAAACTCAACTTCGTGGAGCCACTTTCCACCTCAAGGTGAATTTTGCTTAGAAAAAATTAAACATAGAGTTATCAATGACCTAACACGTTCATTTGGGATTTTCTGGCATGGAGGGCTGTGGCATCTGACCCGAAGGTCCGACTGTGGACCACATTTCCCAAAGGCCAAGGGGCAGAGACACGCAGCTTCTCTGTTTCCAGTAAAAAAAGACTCCATTTCCCAGCAGGCAGCTGGCGGGAGGGGCGCGGCTCCAGGCGTTTGTGAGCAGGCAGTTGGCCAGCCTGGGCTCCGCCCCCACGGGGGCCGTCCTTTTGGCCACGCCTCCTCACACGCTCTGCTCCCGAGCTGGCACAGCCTCTCCGCTCACACTGCTCCTCGCGCTCCTGCTGTCTCCCCACTCAGGGCAGCTCGACTGCCCCGCCCCTCTGTGGCCACGCCCCCTGCTCGCCACGCCCCCTCGCCCCGCCTCCCCGCTCTGCCTGTCACTCAGAGTTATGCTCTCTGGCCTTCCCCGTGAGGCTGCAGGCTGCAGCCCCGGCTCCTCTGTCTCCGCGCCTCCCCGCTCGCCACGCCTCCTCACTCGCTCCGCCCCCCGCCCCTGAGCCAATGGGGAAGCCCCAGACATCCGCGTCAGGCGTGGCGGTGCCACCGTGTGGAGCCGGTGAAAGGGGCTGAGGTTCAGACCGGCGTGAGGGGCGTGCCTGACGCGGAGAGCCGGCAAGCTGGGGCCTCGCGGGCGTCCGCGACGATCCGGTTCCCCTGAGCCCAGTGCGCGCGGGGCTGTCCCGTCCAGGCCTCGTCCCTCCTGGGCGGGGGCGGCCGGTCCAACGCGCGGCGCGTCGGGCGCTCGGCCGGCGGAGGACGGTCTGTGCCGCCCTGGCCCGCGACGCCGGGGTCCGGGCGTCGCTTCCGCGGGGAACCCGGGCGGGAGCGCTTTGACGGGGCTCCGCGGAGACGAGGAGGCCCTCGGAGGACGGCGGGCAGGGCCACAGCGGGGCGGGAGGGCCGCTCCGAGGGGAGACGCTCCCTGAGCCCGGGCACGGGTCCCGGACAGCCTTCCGGGCGGCGGCGCGGCCCTGGCCCGCCGTGTCCGCTGAGGCCTGCGGGGGGCTGTCCTCGAGGGCCGGGGCGCGGGGCTCGCGGGCTGCACAGGGCTCCTCGGGGCCTCCGTCCCCTCCGTCCCCTCCGTCCCCGCTCCCCGGCGATGGCGGGGCCGTCCTGGCGGCTGTCTGAGGCTCAGAGAGGCAGCCTGCTGAGCACCCAGCTCTCAGGGGCTCGAGGGAGGGACAGCCGGCTGAGTCCGGGCGGAGGGAGCGGGAGGCCGCCTGGTTCTCTACCTGCCTCCCCGCGACTCACCTGGTTGTGTGTCGCCTGGTGTGGACGCCTCCCGTCTCCCCTCAGCTCCCTGTCCTGGAACGACCTGGACGCCCTGCTTTGCTGTGGGAGGGCAGTGGGTTGGGGGACGGTCGAAGGGCCTCCTGAGTTCTTGTTCTTGTTCTCTGTTTTACTGGGATCGCCTGTCAAGGCTGAAATTTGCAAGCGTCGGAGGAAACACAGGGCGACATTTCTTTGTAGGAGTTCAGAGCGACAGCCCCTTGCTTTTGAGGCCATGCTGAGCAGGATGGTTTGGGGAAGGATTTGGTCTATGATCATAAAGCAGTTGCAGAGGAAAGCAGAGGTATTTCCTGTCACCATTGGGTCCTGCTGGTGTTTATGCTGTTGCAACTGGCGTGTCGTGATTGGCATTAAGTTTCTGGGTAGATGAGGCGATGTTCCTCTGCTCCCTGGAGAAGGGAAGGTGTCTCGGGAGGTCGCTTAAAGGCTTTCTCTGCAGAAGGGGCCGCAGGTGGTGTTCTCTGCCTCCTGACGGTGCCGCTCAGATTCCGGGTCGGCACAGTGACCAAACTTTTGGACTTAATAACAGGTCACCATGTGAAGCACTCCTGTCACTTCAGCGCTAGCATCTGCGTGAACGATCTGCACGGATATTTACAGGGTAACGGCTTGCTGTTGTGTTCAGCGCTGCAGCAGTTGTTAAGCTGATGAGATGATGCAGGGCTGTGTCAAGCGTAGAACCTGGCTGACAGCAAGTGAGAAAGGGCCCAGGAGGGGCCATCTGACCTTCGTAGAGGCGTGACTTCCAACACGATGACTCGTCCACGGAGGAAGGTGGATCGGTGCTCTCAGGCTGTTCTGTGATGACATCCAGGTGAGCACAGCATTTTCACAAGTGCTGAGGGGACGTGTGATGGTGTGAGGGAGTCTTTTTATTGGCAGTTACTTTGGGGGCATCGCTAGGGAAAATAAGTTAGAGAGAATGTAGTAACACCAAGCCCTGCCAGTACAGACTGATTCTGGAAGGAAACTCGGGAATCAAACTTCTTTCTCTGTTCTGTCTTTTCCAGTGTCTGTGCTTCATCACGGGGCCTTCATTCCTCAATAGTATTTCCGTCTTTCATGGTTTATTCTTTGTCTCCCATTTTGGGAATGTCTGTTTATCCTCCTTCAATAGTTTGTTTTTGCAGTCATTAAAAAAATCTTTTTTTTCTCAGCAATTGATGTATGGTAGGCACTAAATCTTATTCTGGATATTAAGTAATGACTAAGACACTGTTTATTCTCACAAGGCACTCATTGGCTAAACATGATGGGAGATGTAAAAAAACTGTAATGTCCGGAGGTGACATTGAACTCTGGTGAAGTCTATCCAAAGAAGTTGACTCTTCAGTGAGAGTCTAGTGAAAGCTTCACAGACAAGCTTGTGACTGCGCTCAGCCTTGAACAAGGTGTTGGAATTCTCCCAGGTAATTGAGAGGTGGAAGCACTCCAGGATGAGCCGGGAGAGGAGGACATTTAGGGGGTAATTAGACTGGAAGGTGTGTGTATAAAATTGCAATACGACATTGTAATTGTGATGCAGATTATTCCTATCTGACCAATACTGCATAGCAGAGGGTGGGAAATGAGCCTGCTCAGAGAGAACACAGTCAGGTTAAGAAAGAGCCTTATATTTTGGCCACAGGATTGTGGTTTGATTCTGAAATTAGTGGACGGTAAGTGCAGGTTTCATGAGAGGGGACAGCCGTGATCAGGTCTGCTCTGTGGAAAAGTCACCCAGGTCAATGTGAGGAACAGACTGTTGCTGCTTTCAAAGTGTAAGAGAGACTGAGGGACGGAAACAGCACGGGAAGCCTGGGAGTGGAAGGAGAGGAGCGGGTCTCTGAGGGGTGAAAAATAACGTATCCCAAAATTCCGATTAATTTTTCCATTAAGTAGTGAATTTTTACTAGAAACAATGCCAGAAATGTTATATTCATTATTTAAATCTCCCAGAAACTATGAATTTGGTATCATTATCCTGTTTCATGAAGAATGTGACTGTAGTGACAGTGCTTGTGCAGGGCACATAATGGAGTCTGGAGACATGTTCAGAACTCATGGTTTCCAGGTATTTTGCATTTCACTAGTACTCTGATTTTTAATTCACTTTATTTTTTGAACAGTTGTACAGTTACAAAAACTTGCTGTGATAGTACAGAGAGTTTCCCTCAGCTCCGTTCGCAGTTTCTGCTCTTATGAACACATCCTGTCTGTTATCCTACACTACATTTAGTCCTTTCTGCCTAGCCTCCCCTGGCTGTGACAGGTTCTCGGGCTTTCCTTGTTCTTGAAGAACTTGGTAGTTTTAGGGAGTAATGGTCAGGTGTTTCGTAAAATGTTCTCCAACAGAATTTGTCTGTTTTATTCTCATGATTAGATTGGGATTATGGATTTGGGGCAAGAAGATCAGAGAGATAAATTGCCATTTACATCTCATCATTTCAAGGGTCCATGCTCTCCCTGTGACTTCCCCCCATTGATGTTAATGTTGGTCACCTGGCTGAGGCAGCATTTGTCAGATGTCTCCCCTGCGCAGTCACTCTGTCCCCTCTGTCCACACCGTGCCCTTTGTAGGGACTTTTGTCTGTGCAGCCCTCGCCTAAGAAGCGGAGAGTTAGCCTCGACCTCCTTTAGAGCAGAATGTCCAAGTGAATCATTGGTATTCTCCCACACAGGAGATTTGTGTCTTTTCATTTCCTTATTATTCAGTTATTTACATTGGTACAGTATTGATATGCATACATTCTCCGGATTATAATCCAACAACTTTATTTATTTTGTTGCTCAGGTTGTTCCAGCTTTGGCGATTAAGAGCTCCTTCAGTTAGCCGATGTGTCCCTTTGGCGTCCCCCCAGCATTCTTGGCTTTTTTTGAGTAGCATTTCATGACTTTCTTATGTTGAATGACACCTTAGTCTCATTTTCTTACATTTCCTTCCCGAATCCTAGAATTGGTTATTTCTACAAGGAACCCTGTTTCCTTTTGTTGGACTGTGGTATTAGAATTAAGACCTGGGTACCAGGTGTGTTTGCAGCTGTCAGGGCATTAGGCTCTTTCAGCGGACATAGCAGGGAAATATATCTGTGTGTGGTAGCCTGTGTGTATTCAAACACCTATAAATATATCTATACACAGCCTTCTGTGTCTATGTTCAGCTAAAGTAAGTTCACACTGATGTCTCCAACTCTATCACCACGTGGATC